CACACAGACACAGACACTCAGACACACAGACACTCAGACACACAGACACACAGACACACACACACACACACAGACACACACACAGACACACACACACAGACACACACAGACACACACACAGACACCCACACAGACACACACAGACACACACACAGACACACACACACAGACACACACACAGACACACAACCACAGACACACAACCACAGACACACACACACAGACACACACACAGACACACACACACACACGCACACGCACACGCACACGCACACGCACACGCACACGCACACGCACCCACACACCCACACACCCACACAAACGCACACACGCACACACGCACACACGCACACACGCACACACGCACACACGCACACACGCGCCAACACGCACGCATGCAACATGCACACAAGACACACCCCACACACACGCATCACACGCACAAACCACACGCACGCCACACCCCACACGGCACACACACACGCACATACCACACACCCACACAACACAGGCACACACAACAGACACGCCCACCACACGCACAACAACACACACACGCGCGCACACACAACACACACGCGCACACACACACACGCGCGACGCACAAGCACACGCACACACGCATTCACACAACACACACCCACGCACACGCACGCACACACAAACACACACAAACACACACACAAACACACACACACACATAAACACACATAAAAACACGCACGCACACGCACGCACACGCACGCACATACACACACACACACACACACACACACACACACACGCACACACCCGCGCACACACCCGCGCACACACACCCGCGCACGCACGCACGCGCATGCACGCACGCCAGCCCGCACGCCCGCGCGCACATGCGCCCGCACAAGCACGCGCGCACGCGCACACGCGCGCTGGCGCGCACGCGCACCCGCGCACACGCACACACGCGCACACGCGTACACACGCACACGCACACGCACGCACGCGCACACGCACACGCACGCGCACACGCACGCGCACACCCCCACACCCTCTCACACCCTCTCACACCCTCTCACGCCCTCTCACACCCCCATACCTTCATACACCCACCTCCCCCCCCCTCCCCCCTCCACATCCCCACACACCCACCACCCCCACACCCCGACACCCCTACACCCCCACACCCTCACACCCCTACACCTTTCTATCACACCCCCACATCCCCACACTTAGACCACACCCCAAACCTTCATTTCCCCACACCCCCACACCCCGACACCGCCACATCCCGACATCCCGACACCCCGACACCCCGACCCCCCGATCGCCCCCCGCACCCTTACACCTCCACACCCCACACCCCTACACGTCCACACGCCAATGTGATCCATGATGATGAAGAGGGAGAGGGATCTGAAGAGGAATAGGAAGATGGTGATGTTGATGATGCTGCTGCTGATGATGACGAGGAGGACGAGGAGGAGGAGGAGAAGGAGGAGGAGCAGCAGGAGGAGGAGGAGGACAAGGAGGAGGAAGATGAAGAAGAGGCGACGAAGGACGTCGAGCGCCCTCGCAAGCGCTCCTCCTCACCCTAGTTCGACTTGCATCTAGCACCACGGGCCAGCTCGCAGGCCGCAGCGCTGGAGGTAAACAAGACCCCGAACAGCCTCGGCAATGCCCGTCCACTTTGGGGCTTCCCTGAGCAGCAGCTACGGCAAAGCTCGTGTTGCGACGACTCGTGCGCTGGTCTCTGACTCTACGCGGATCGCTCTATGTTGCACCGTGACAATAATGGCATAATTACACATAATCTTTCGGAATCCCGCTCGGATTTCTTGGGTCGGAGCTGGCCACCCGTCCCTGGCGCGCGGGGCGTGCCGGGGGCGGCGCCAGGGGCGCCGCGAAGGGGCCTCCAGAGCTGATCCACGAAGTCCACGCGGAGCTCCACGCGTTTATGCTCATGCACGTTCTTCATTTTTTGGGTTGCAGCCACGCGGATCGTGAGGTCTCGTGCGATCGTGGCTCTCCGATTGGCGGCACCTGATCGCTCGATGTCGGACCGCTCCGGGCCGCTGGCGGCGCTCCGCCTCGAACGCTCGCGCTGCGCCCGGGCTGGCACGGGCGCGGGGCGCTGGGCCGCAGGCCTGGCTCCACAGGCCAAGGCCGCGTGCTGCCCGCCAGGCGGGCGCGCGCGGCCCTCGTCGTCGTCGCCGTCGCCGTCGTCGTCGTCGCCGTCGTCGTCGTCGTCGCCGTCGTCGTCGTCGTCGCCGTCGTCGTCGCCGTCGTCGTCGCCGTCGTCGTCGTCGTCGCCGTCGCCGTCGTCCTCGCCGTCGTCGTCGCCATCGCCGCCGCCGTCGTCGTCTTCGTCGTCGTCGTCGCCGTCGCCGTCGCCGGCGCCAGCGTCGTCGTCGTCGACGTCCTCGCCGTCGTCCTCGTCGTCGTCGTCGTCGCCGTCGTCGTCGTCGCCGTCGTCGACGTCGTCGTCGTCGTCGCCGACGTCGTCGTCGTCGCCGTCGTCGCCGTCGTCGCCGTCGTCGTCGTCGTCGTCGTCGTCGTCGTCGTCGTCGTCGTCGTCGTCGTCGTCGTCGTCGTCGTCGTCGTTGTGGTGGTTTTGGTCGTCGTCGCTGCGTTGCACGGCGCGAGCCACCGCCGAGGCAGCCGCGCGGGCTGGGCCCCTCCGCCGGAGGCGCCCAGCGCAGCGCGACGGGCTGCCCACACGTCCGCGGCACGTGCACGGGCACGCTCGGCTGCACGCAGCAGTGACTTCCCACAGCTCCGAACGATGCACGCGTCCGAGCGATGCCAAGGTCTGGCCGATCACCCTCCACAGCCTCGCTGGGCGCCCGCCCGGGCTCCACCCTCGTGCTGCTGGCCCGCTCGTCCCCGCCGCCGCCCCCTGCCCGCCAGGCGCCGCGCGGCAGCGCCTGGGGGCCCCTGGCATGACGCCGCCGCGATTGGTGTTCAGTCCGCTGCCCCGGGAGGTCCCGACCCTCTTCGGCTACACGCAAGAGCGACCCTGGGTAAGAGTGGCCTCTGGTGCGCGGCTTTTTCGGGGCCGCGGGGGGGCCAAACCCAAGCGCGCAAGACGCAACTGTCGCATCGCACTCGGCGATCGGGGGACCCTAGTGGGTCCTCACCAAAGGTCACCCCGGCGAAAGGTCACTCCTATGTTCCCCAAGAGGTAAGCACCACCGATTCTGCCCGCAGGGAGCGGCAACGAGAACGACGACGACAGTGGTGACGACAACGACACAGACTACGAGGGCGACGACGATGACGACGTGAGCGGCGACGATGGCGACAAGGACGGCGGCAACGGCGACAGCGACTACGACGACCGAGACGACGACGACTCATAGATGATACGAGCGCCGATATGGATGACGACGAAGACGGCGACGGCGACGACGACGACGACTACGATACTTTTCAAGGGTGTTTTAGCGTTCTCGCCCTCTCGGGCTGCCGACGCTTCAAGACGGCCCACAAAGGCCTCCAAGACCGCCCCAAGACCGCCCCAAGACGGCCCCAAGACAGCCCCACTCTTGCCGCAGCCTTGCCTGCGGTGGGCCTTCGGCGTGCGCGTCGCCTCCGCCCCAGGCCCTCCGCCCTCGGGTCATGAGTTCTGCCTCCCCGACCGCGCGGGCCCAGGTCCCCCCCCCGCGGTGCATTCGGTCTCCGCATGCTGTTCAAGTGTATTTCTCAAAAAAAACATTCTCGCCCTTGGCCATGCAAGCATACAAACGAGGCCAGGCCAGATGTAGCCCACCTTGGCGTCCACTGACAACCGCCCCGTCCACTCAGCCCCCCCCGCGCCGATCCAAGCAAGGCGACTACTGGGCAGGAGAGGTCCGCCGAGAGCTCGCGGAACCGGGGGGAGCAGACGGCAGACGCGAAGGCGCTCGCGGAACCTGCGCGGCTCCCTCGCGCGCTCGCCCTGAATGGACCACCCGCGCGGGGGGCCCACCCGAGGCGAGAGAGGAGGCCTCTCCACGCCCAGAGCCGCGCGAGGAGAGCCATGGCCTGCAGGGGGGCGGGGGGGCTCCCCGCCCCGTCGGGCGCCACGGCGCGCCGAGGCGAGGCGGCCTCGATCGCCCGCCGCCCGGCCCAGCGACGTGGCCCGGCAGGCGACCAGCGCCCGCCCCGGGCTCTGTGCGCTCCCCGCGTGCCCTGCCGCGCGCCGCCACGCCACGGCGTCGGGAGCGCCCTGTGCGCCGCAGGGGCGCACCACACGCCTTCCCGACGGGCGCCCGAGCGGCCCCTGCCCCGCGCGCGGGGGCGCCGACGGCCCTGCCCTGCGCCGCCGCCGCCGCGGGCGGGCCCCGTGGAGCCCGCCGCCGGCTCCCTGCCGGGCAGCGTCCTGCGCGGCAGCGGGCAGGGCGCAGTGGGCGAGGCACCGCCGGGCGGACGGGGGCCCTGGAGCGCCACCCGCCAGCTCCACCCGGAGAGGCCTCCCCCCGCCGAGCTCGGCCGCCCCCCAGCCCGAGAGGGAGGGGGCCCGCGCGTGCCCCGCTGCATCCCACGACCTCCGGGGAGGCTCAGACCACGACGGGCCCGCGGCAGCCCGCGCGAGGTCCCGGGGAGGGAGGGCGGCAACTGTCGCGGGCTGTTCGCCCTGGAGCGGCCAGCGGCGCGCCCGCCCGCGCGCACCCGGAACGCCCCGATCGCTTGCCAGGCCACTCGGGCCGAGCAGTTGCACTCCGTGCGGTGTGGGACACGACGTCGGCGGCAAGAGAGATCGGGCAATGGAGCATGAGGGTGAAGGAGGAGGAGGAAGAGGAGGAGGATGAGGATGAGGAGGAGAAGGAGGAGGAGGAGGAGGAGGAGGAGGAGCATGATGACAAGGGAAGGATGGCGGGGAAGATGTGGAGGATGTGTTGCAAGCTGGCGACCATCCAACTTGTGGCACTCATGCTGGTGGACCGTGCGTCCCGCAAAGAGCACGAGAGCCACTCTGATGCATTCCACTCATGGCGACCTCGGAACAATCGATGGAGTGCGGAAGCGGCCATAACAGAAGAGCAACGGCAACGACGAGGCCATGTGCAATGGGTGCATGCACATACCATCACGCATGGTAATCTACAGCTGTGTTTCCTCTGCGTGTGCACGTCCGCTGTGCAAGACCAGCCATGACCAATCAAGGCGTGTCGTCTCGTGGCGTGGTGAAAGGAGGGGCCAGCATGATGCCATTTCGACATGTATCCCGCATGGTGAGTCTCGTCCAAGTCACCAGCAGAGAAAACGCGGAAGGACCGCTCAGTGCCAGCTCTCATCAGCATCGGGGTCTGGGATGGCGATCGCCTGGAGCTCATGGACGCCGCCGCCGCGCCGCCGCACGATCGGTACACCGACGGCGCGCATTAGCGCTGCGCAGCCTGCGACCGCGACGTGCTCCAATAGTTAACTGGCCCAGACGCGGAGGCTGGAAGGGATGGGCGGGAGCGCTGAAGAGAAGTACAGTCAACACCGACGAAAAATCAGGTCAGAGGAGTCCAAGACTCTCCACAAAACACTCACCTGAGTCAAGGATCACGAGACCTAATTGCTTCGATCACAGCCAGGTACGCGGATCTCCTGCAGACGATTCATGCCGAGAGAAACTAGTGGGTGCCAACTCTAAACACACTACTCAAAGCATGAGCATTCGACTCTTCGCCGAAGGGAATTCGCGGGAAACTTCGTTCCCACACGTATCAGCACAAGCGCCTTGGGCACAAGCTTCAGAAGTCTTTGTCCCAACCACTACCGTCGTCCTTCCACTCTAGGTGATTCGCCTGTGACGGATTCCAGCAAACAACTCCCCACTCGCTGTCGTGCTTCCGAGACCGGCGGTATGCACTACTGGAGGCACGCCGTGTGACTGACTCAGTGTTTTGCTGGGCGGCTGGGCCTTGACGGGGCCCTCGCAGTGCCCAAACACGATAAGGTGAACATGTCCTCCATGAGGGGATGCCTGTGCCAGGGCGGCTGGAAACCTCATGCGACCATGTGCCGCTCCCAGAGCACACAAGTGCCAGTCGCCCGGGAGCAGGCGGCCCCCGCGTTGAAGACTTCACCTCGCGGTGCTTGTGCTTCGGCGAGCCCTTACTGCCAAGGGTGGCCATGAGGGCGACCGACCAGACGGGTCAGTGAGTGCAACGTGCCTGTAACAATAAAGATGCTCAGAACCCTTACCCGTCTCCTCCTCCCCCCCATACCTCTCGTTTTCCTCCTCCTCATCCTCCTCTTCCCCTTCCCCATTCTCTCCCCCTCCTCCTCCTCCTGTTCCCCCTCCCCCTTCTCCTCTCCCTCCTACTCCTCCTCCTCCTCCTTCTCCTCCTCCGCCTCCTCCTCTGTCGAAATTGCATATCTCCGGTCTCAGAGGCAGAATGCCGAGTGCAGCCGTTACGAAATCCACTTGCCTTTTGGGCCTTCACGTGCGAAAAATTCTTCAGATCTGTATGACTTCGCACGGCGGGCAAATACGGAGGCGTCAGCGCCCTGCTGACCAGTCCGTCCCAGTCGAAGTCTTGGTACCATCGATGCTGCTTGAGGTTGTTCACTCCACCTGCCCTCATCGGCAATCGTTCAGATGGCTCGGACTTCAAGATTGCCTTTATTATCTCCTCGCTCGCGCCGTCGCATTTCGATGGGAACTGGATGTAGTTGATGCCTTTTAGCACCTTGCCATACATGGCCATGTCGTTCTCTGCGCGGAAAGGAGCGGAACCCACCATGAACTCGAAAATGAGGATACCAAGCGTCCACCAATCTACGGCTCTTGTCTGACCTGTCGAACGAATCACCTCTGGAGCGAAATACTCCGGTGTACCGCAAGTGGTGTACGTTTTTCCCAAAGCGAACTTCGCCAACCCCATGTCGGTGAGCTTGAGATACCCCTCGGCTGTTAGCAGCAAATTCTCTGGCTTGAGATCGCGGTAGACTACGTGACGAACGTGCAAATGCTCAAACGCCAGAACGACACTGGCCGAATAATACCGCGCATGAGCCACACTCCCATGGAGGCACTTTCTGTGGTACACCACGTAAAGTTCCCCGCCGAGTGCTGGCTCAAGGTAAAAGTAGATCCACTGCGCCGTCTGGCTCGTGTTGTAGAGCTTTATGATGAAGGGCGAGTCCACGCTGGCCAAAATGTGCTTCTCGTTGATCACATTGTTCTGCATGCGCATCTTGACGATGTAGCCTTTCGAAGGGCAGCGATAGCGGGGGACCAGCGCAGGGGGGGAACATCGAGCTGGAATCGGAGATGCACCGCAGAGAGATCGGCGATATGCCCTCGATGGCGCAACCGCGCATTCTTGGGCGGGGTGGCCTATCGGGTCCCTATCAGCGATAAATGGTCGATTGCAGATCGATGCGTTCCCCAATAAGCCTACTCCACCCCAGCGATCCTCGTCCTTTGGGTTTCGGGTCATGGCTCGGGTTACCGGCGGCCGTTCGGGGCGATCACCCCCAGACGCCTCTCGGTGAGGCGAAGCTGCTGAAACGCATCCATAGGCGGGGACCCCCCCAGGGAACTGACGAAACCGTCCGATCTCCCCCCCTCCTCCCCTGAGCCCATCACCCCCTAGCTAGAGGCCTCCAAGATGATGGGGTCGGTGGATCGCGCCGCATCGCCAATGCATCGACGACGTCGGCATGGACAATCTCGGGCTCTACATCGAGCCCCATCGCGGATGTATCGGCGATGCGTCGCGATCCTCCGACCCCATCTGCTCCGAACCCATCTGGGAGACCTGGAGAGGGCGAGACTGACGTCATGATCAAATTGGCTGAGTATCTAGCGGCCCCGTTTCTGCAGCCCGCGTGGAACATCAGGACATCCAGGGGATCCTGGAAACCTTAGAAGTCTTGGAACGTGACGTTGTCATGACCTCTTGCTCCTCTGGCTAGACCCCAGCCCAGACTCCCGAGGTCATGATTTTTTTCAAAACGTCGACCCCCGGAGGTCACGACCCATTCCGCGGGACCGGCTTCTCATCCCGAGTCGTTTTTGGACGGTCCCGAGCTCTGGTGAGGGACCTCAGGAGGCCGAACCTAGCGGAACACCTCCAGTCGTGATTTTTGCATGACTGGGGGGGGGTCTGAGAACGCTGCCCCTGACTAGGCGGCGAGCCTGGAGGGAATTGAGGAGCCCAGACCTCCTCGCGCATTGTGAAAAACTCACGACGGGAAGCTTCTCGCTATTTTCGGCGGCCAAGAGCCCTTACTGGGCCTCGGGGCCGTCAAACAACGGCCCAGGATGAAAAACTTGTCCCAGGGAAGGGGTCTGGACCTCTGGGGGTCGACGCTGTGAAACAATCACGGCGTCGGGGTTCTGGGGAGAAGGGGCGGGCCTTCTCAGAAGGCTCGCAAGGCCCCCCCGGCCTTCTGAGAAGCGGTCTATGAGCCTCCCCCGAAGACGCAGAGAGAACTTCTCAGAAGGCCCGAGGGGGCTTCGGAGGAGCCCCGCCGCCTTCTCAGAAGGCTTCCCCCTCCTCCTCCTCCTCCTCCGCCTCCTCCCCCTCCTCCTCCCCCCCTCCTCCTCCTCCTCCTCCTCCTCCTCCCTCCTCTCCTCCTCCTCCTCCTCCTCACTTCCCCCCCCCCCCCCGAGCGCGCTGCCGAGATGGACCTCCCCCGTGGCCTGTGCGGCCCTGGCGTCTGGTGGCCCCCTCGGGGGGGCGCCACCTGGCTCGCGAGCGGCCGGGGAGGCCTTCCGAGAAGGCGATCCTCTCTCGCACCTCCCCCCCTCTCGGTCGTCCCAGACCCCCGACGCCATGATTTTCAGAACATTTTCTTAGGGTTGAGGGGTCAGGGTGAAATCCCAATTGGGCTTTTGCACTTCGAAGTTCAAGCCGTCCTGTGATTCACCATGTGCAGATGCAAGCCTCGGAGTCGAAACGGCCTCTCAGATTTCACCCTCTGCCCTGCACCCAAAGAAAATGCTCGGATTTCTGCATAACGTCGACCCTCAAGGGCCTCGACCCATTCCCCCGGACCGGCTTTCTTCAGCCGGAGCCGCTGTTTCACGGCCCCGAGGCCCGGTAGAAGGGCCCCCGGAGGCCGAACATCTGGAAAAGCCTCCCGTCCTACTACTAGACTGGGGTGCTTCACCTCGGACACGTCCTCAGTGATCCAAAATTGCATGGCAAACATTGTCGCCCTTCCAGTTCCCTCTCGCTCCTCGGCTCCTCGCCTTCCTGCCCGTCTCTTGCCCTTGCCTGGCCCGCTTTTCTTTGTCGGCCTGCCCCGCGGTCCGAATAAGAGGTGTGGCGCTGCCTGTTTCGACTCTGTTTGACTTAACCTCCCGTCATGTTTTTCTCATTGCCCGAGGGGGGCTGCGGCCGCCGACGGGCCTTTGCTCATCATCTTCACGGCGTACGTCTTGCCCGTGACCTGGCGCGGCGCGGGCCGGACCGGCCCGGGGCGCGGCAGCGCCCAGGGCCGAAGGAGGGGGGCCCTCGGCCGGGCAGGGCGGCCTGGGGCCCGCGGTCCGGGAGCTCGTGCGCGAGGCCCTGAGGCCCTGGGGAGCCCCTCGCGGGCGGGAGGCACATCCAGATGCTCCTCCGCCTCCTCCTCCTCCTCCTCCTCCTCCTCCGCCTCCTCCGCCTCCTCCCCCTCCTCCTCCCCCTCCTCCTCGTCCTCCTCCTCCTCCTCCTCCTCCTCCTCCTCAGACACATGCTCGCGTCGTCGTAAATCACGACGGGGGGCTTTTGGCCGTCTCTGCGGCCTCCCGGGGGGGCATCGCCGGGTCCAGGCACCGACAGCAACGGTTCAGGATGAAAATCAACCCTCGGGACAGGGTTGGGACTTCGGGGGACCGCGTCTTCAGAACGTCGCATGTCTGGACCCTCCTCCTCCTCCTCCTCCTCCTCCTCCTCCTCCTCCTTCCCTCCCTCCCTCCCTCCCTCCCTCCCTCCCTCCCTCCCTCCTGCTGCTGCTGCTGCTGCTCCTCCTCCTCCTCCTCCTGCTCCTGCTCCATCTTCCCCTCCTCCCCTCTTCTTCGCTCTGGCCTTGCACCTGCACGCTTTCCCGCACCGGACGAGCATCTCTTGGAGGCAAACTTTTTGCTTCCGCCGTCTTCCGTCAGCCTTCCGCCGGCGGAAGCTGCCTCGTTCTTCGCGGATCCACAGGCCCGGGTCAATCCAGACCCGGGTCAGTCAGGCTTTGCAGGACCCTGCAGGATCTTGCATCTAAGCCCGGGTCAGTGCACCCCTGGCCCTGCAGGATCCTGCAAGATCTGGCGCTCTGGCTGACCCCCGTTTTCATTGACCCCGCTTCCGCCGAGGAAGAGGTGCCAACTCCTTCGATCCTCGAAAGCAAGGCCCTCTTTGGAGCGCGCCACGTATCCACGGCCTCGTGGGCTGGGCCTCTGGGCCGCGACCCCACGGACACGGGGCGCCTTTCTCGCGGACGCCCCGCGCGGAACGCATCCATGCGACCGCGCATACAGGGGATCGCGCCCCGGACTCCCCAGGGCGCGAGGGCGTGGACGTGGACCTTGCCGTCGCTCGGACGTCCATTTCCCGTGCATCTTTCAGTCTCGTGCGCTTATCTTGTCGCAAGATGGTCCGTGGTGTTCCTCGAAGGTCTTCGCCGAGAAAAGATGCACACGTCCGAGCGATGCCAAGATCCTGTGGATCGCGCCCCGGAAGCCCAGGCCGCAAGGGCGTGGGCATGGACACTTGGGAGTCCCCAAATCGGGTAGTGACGAACCTGGCGGTGACTTCGAAATCCGCAAAGATCTCACTGCAGGGTCCGTCACCACACGGCTTGGCTTTGGGACCCTGTTAAAGGCCCCAGTCGCCCGAGACATCTTCGGAGAACGACCCAAGTCCCAACACCGTGCGGTGACCCCGAAACCCCACCGACTCACCACATGGTGTGGTCACCACCCCGTTGGGTCGGCGGTAGACAAACCTCCCTTCAGCAAACCACCCTTTAGTGAAAACGGCCTAGGACCGAAACCGACGGACCCGGACCCGCAAAAATGACGGCCGCGACGCCCTCTCGCGAACCGAACACGGCCAAGTCGCTAATCGACGTGTCGGGGCAGGAGGTCTATCAGCCTCCGATTGGGGGGCCCCCGAGACACGTGCGCCGCTGGTGGGCTGCGCGAGGTGCGGGTGCGGGGCTTCTTGGACGGGTGCGGGGCGCCCGAGGCGCCGCTCTAGGGGGGGACTCGGCGCCGATCCTAGAGATCCGCGCGGACATCCGAGCGTTGGCAGAACTGGGCTCAGTGGGGCCCGGTCCAGTGGTGTGTGCTGGGGGGACGCCCCACCTCCTCCTCCTCCTCCTCCTCCTCCTCCTCCTCCTCCTCCTCCTCCTCCTCCTCCTCCTCCTCGTCACCCTGAGGCACTGAGGCACTGATGGCAAGACATTCTGCTGATGCCAGGGCGACGCCCGCCCGGTTCCACCAACCGGAAGGGCCGCCGCCCGAAAACCAAACGCCAACTGTACGGCAGACCTGGTTTAGGGGCTCTGGCCGATTTGGGAGGCTCCGGGGCCCTGCCACTGACCGGGTCCCCTTACCTGGGGTCCTGGCTATACCTTGGTCAGGGACCGACCGTCCTGGCATTCCTACAGTTCTACCACGACATGTTCGTAGAACCCAAAAATGCTCAAACACAAAAAACAATGTTCTTAGAACATATGCCCGATGTGTTAACACAAGACGCTCCCAGACAGACCTGTTCTGAGAACACTTCGTGGGAACCACACAAGGTTCTTCGAACAGTGTCTGGTAGGGCTATAGGCGAGCCAGGACGCTTCGCCACGCCCGAGGCATGCATCTCTGTCGGCCTGCCCTCGGCGTCGTCCGGCCCGATACTTGCTCCAGGCGCGGCGGCGCTGCGGGCTCGGGCCCCGGCCCGCGAGGAGGCACGGGAGGCCTCCCTGCGCAGCTCCGCCCGAGGCGGTGCTGCTCTCGGGGCTGGTGGCCCTCACAGTGAGGGCCTGATCTGATGGCATTGGCCGGGCCCTTCCTTGCCGTCGCTCGGGCGTCCGTTCCCCATGCATTTTTCGGTTCCGTGCGTGCTCTTTTTGTGCCAGATGGTCGAGGATGCTTTTCGAAGGTCCTCGCCGAGACAATTGAATTCACGCGTCCGAGCGATACCAAGGCCCTCAGGGATCGCTGATGAATCTGTTTTTGCTTCATGCCGTTTCCCTTCGGGAGCGGCGGGAAGGGTGGTTTGGCTCAAGGAGCGTGATGTCGACGGCCGCTGGGGCGCCTCAGGTCGAGCTGGGGGCCTCCGCTGAGGGCCTGGGGGGGGGGGGGCTCGGGCCTGGCGGGACCGACCTTCGACCTCCTCCTCCGGCTCCCGGACCTGCCCCCCGTCTTCCTCGCTGCTACCCCCTCCGCTCCCCACAGCTCCCCGCGGCGCGCGCGCCGGTGCACGCGCTGGGCCAGGGGCCCGGGGCTCACGGAGGGCAAGCGACGAGCTCTTGTGCTCGGTCCCCCGGCTCGGCCACTCGCTTCCCGCCGCACGGGCCTGCCACGTGTGCCCTTCACGGAGCGGCCGACCGAGAATGGGGGAGGCGGGAGAAACTTCGAGTTCTCTCTGCCACTCTTTTTTTCTCCGCGCTAGCTTGCGGCCGCAGTGAGGCCACAGCGCCCAAGCCGGTCGTCCCCTTTTTCCCTTGTTCGCCCAGACGCTGCGAGCATCATCGGGTCAGAGCCCGTGCATGACGCCAGGAATGCGGAGGAGGGAGCAGAGGAGGGAGATAAGATAGGGGGGAGGGAGGGGGACGAGGGAGGGGGACGTGGGAGGGAGAAGGGGGACGAGGGAGGAGGGAGGGAGGTAGGGAGGGGGACGAGGGAGGGAGACGAGGAAGGGGGACGAGTGAGGGAGGGGGACGAGGGAGGAGGACAGAGGGGGGGAGGGAGGGGAGGGAGGGAGGGGGAAGAGGGAGGGAGACGGGCAGGGCAGGCAGGACTCTCCTTGGCCCTCCTGCGCCGCCGCGCCGCCTGTGGGCAAGACGGAACGCCGTCGCCCCTGCGCCGCCCGCGCCACCGAGATCGATCGAACCCAGCAGCGTGCGACGAGGGCTCCGAAGTCCACTCTAAGACGAAGCCAGATCGAGGACTCAGTCGGGTACAGTCATCGGCCTGACCTAAGGAACGAATTATACATAGAAGAACGGAGCCCCGATCTTCCAAGGAATAACGGGTAAGGAACGGCAAATAAAACATAACGCATCGGGAACGGTAAATAACCCATGCAAGCCTAAGGAACGACCGAGCCCCTTTTGCAAAGTAAGCGTTCCTTATTCAAGCCGCTCGCCGAACGGATAAGTCGAGAATCTCTGAGATCCGGCGAATTTGGACGATGCCTCGGGCGCCGCGGCCTTCTCAGACCCGTCCCAGAACGCTCTGAGAGCGTTCTGGAGCGCTCCTGAACGGATGCATCCTCGTCGTATAGGCCCGTCTGACCCTCTGCCGATGACCGAAGACCCGCGGTGCACGAGGAAGCATGGAGGGAGCCTGGAGAGAGGAGCGAGGGAGAGGCGGATGGGGCAACGTCAGGGGGGGACCGGCTCAGGGGGGGACCTCGAGCTGGAACTGGCGATACATCGCCGATGGATCGGCGAGAGGCCCCCGACAGCACACCCGCACGGTCCTGGGCGGGGCGGGCTACCGGGCTCCTATCGGCGATTGGGGGTCGATGCGTCCGTGCCTGAGCCTATCCCACCCCAGTGGTCCTCGTCGTCTGGCTTTCGGGTCATGGCTCGGACCTCTGGCGTCCGTTCGGGGCGATCTGGACACCCCCGGACGCCTCTCGGCGAAGCGCAGCCTCTGGAACGCAGCCCGAGGCCGCAGAGCCGCCAAGAAGCGACGAACACGCCCGGACACCTGGAACCCTCGGCGAAGAAACGCAGCCGTTGGAACGCATCGCGAGGCCGGGAAACCGCCAAGAAGCGACGAAAGTGCCCGAGCAACTCGAACCTCGAGCCCGAGGTTTCTCCCACTGACGTTGCCCCTACAGTCAACCCGTATCATAAAGATGCGCGGTAAGAGTGCAATGGCCTTGGAGGCCCATGTTATCGTTTCTCGAGCGAGGTTGGCCGGCGAAACTCGCTAAGGATGGGCCGAAGGGGCAAGGATGCAAGGGTACGTTTGGGAAGGCTGCCCATCCTTACTATGCGGGTTGACTGTAACGTTGCCCCGGATGGTGTGTGCAAGGAGGCTGGCCGTGGACGCCGCCGGTGCGCGTGCCTTGTGCTCCCGCAGCTCCACCTTGCCGAAGGCGCCCACGCCGAGGGTGCCGACCAGCTCGATGTCGTCCATGTGCACGGTCTCGTGCTTCTTCTTTGGGGGGGGGGGCGGGGAGGAGGGGCGAGGAGGGGGGGCGAGGAGGAGGGGCGAGGAGGGGGGGCGAGGAGGAGGGGCGAGGAGGAGGAGGGACGGGGATGAGGGACGTGCTTTCTTCTGTGGTGGGGGTGGGGGGGGGGGGGGGCGCTCCGCTCTCGTGGCCCTCCTCCTCCTCCTTCTCCTGCGTCCTGCTCGCCTCCTCCTCCTCCTCCTCCTCCTCCTCCTCCCTCCTTCGCTCTCCTCCTCCTTGCGTCCTGCTCGCCTCCTCCTCCTCCTCTCCTCTTCCTCCTCCTCCTCCTCCTCCTCCTCCTCTCGTCCTCCTCCCCCCTCATCCCCCCCTCCTCCTCTCCTCCTCCTCCTCCTCCTCCCCTCCTCCTGCTCCTCCTCCTCCTTCGTCCTGCTCGCCTCATTCTCCTCTCGCAGACGATGGTGGTGATGATGGTGGTGGTGACGGTGACGATGAGTGGCGTTGCCTGCCGATCACGATGACCATGTGGCGGACGAGAACGCGGGGGAGCAGGAGGGAGCGGATCAGAACAGGGCGAGTTGAGACAACGACAGCTTAGAATCGGTCCCCGGACCCCTCGGGGGATTCCAGCCTCACAAGTTGTCCCAGCTGCGCCCAGTCGTGGCGACGAGGGCCCCCCGAAGGCCACCACCATTGCCTCAACTCGCCCTCCTCTGAGCGGAGGGAGAGAGAGAGAGAGAGAGAGAGAGAGCGAGACGAAAACGGCGCCGCAGGCTGCCTGCACTGGTGACGGCCGAGCGGACCCGTTGCCGCCGGCCTTCTCGCTCATGATGCCGTGGATGGAGCCCAAGAGGATCTCGAAGCTGCTCTTGTCCAAGGTCAGGGCCTGCAGGGCCGGCGGCTCGGCTGAGGGGGAGGTGAACGAGCGGTGCCTTGGCAGTTGTGTCCTCCCAGCAAGGGGTGGACGTACGTACGAGTTCTAGATCAAAGAGGATGGCTCTGCTGGCGATTATCAGGGTTTACTGCAGGCACACCTATGGGACCCATTTCGGCCCACACCAGTCAGACTCACAGGAGGAAGCGGGGATGGCCGAGATGGGCGACCAGGAGGAGGAACATGAGGAGCAGGAGGAAGGGCAGGATCGAGAACAATAAAATGAAGATGACAGGCATGAGGCGGAATAGGAATGACGAGGACGATAATGAGCAGGAGCAGCATCAAGGTAATGATACTGAGGACGAGGAGGAGCAAGCTAAATTCGCCGGCCCAACAAGCCAGAGGCGTGCTAAAATCTCCGGCATCAAATTAATAATATTCTAGTTCGCGCGCTCGTGGCGACCTGTGCGCGCGTGGCGGCCCCTGGGTGTCCCGGAGCGAAAAATACCCTGGGCAGGGTCCCGGCAAGTCCCCGTCAGAGATTCCGGATCTCTTGGGCGCGGGCCTGGGGGCCTCTGGAACCGTCCAGGAGCGGCCCAATGAGTCGAAAAATCAGTGGCAGGCCCTACGGCCAGAAGCCAACAGCGTCCCAAGGTTGCCCAAAATGGCCTCACCATGGCCCTCGATGCCCCCCACACGCCCCTCGAGGCTTCCGAGAAGCGTCCCACGAGGCAAACGTTATTGCTTTTCCCTCGATTCTTGGAGGTTTCAGCCTGCTCGCCTTTTCGGCACGACCTCTTGGGCTGTCATGCGGGCCTTTTCGCTCCTGGGGGCCTCGCAGGCAATCTTGGGGCGATCTTTGGGGGCCCATGGGCCCGTCTTGGAGCGTCAGCAGCCCGAAGAGGCGAGACCGCTAGACTCAGCGGAGAACCAACGAGCATCAATGATTGCGGCTTCCTGGAGGTCCTCCTCCTCCTCCTCCTCCTCCTCCTCCTCCCTCTCCTCCTCCTCCTCCCCCTTGGGGGCCGTCTTGGGGGGGCCCCTTGGCCTTCGGAGGCCGCCCTCGGGCCCTCCCCGGGCAGCCGTGGGTCGCATTCTCTGGGCCCCTCGGGGGCCGCCTGGGCGGTCCCCGGGGCCGCCCTGGGGCCGTCCTGGGAGCCGCCTTGGGGCCGTCCTGGGGCGATCCCACGGGCCCGTCTGGGCCCACGGGCCCGTCTGGGAGCGTCGGATGCCCGACCAGGCGAGAGTGCCAGACTCCTAGAAACACCATGGGAACAGCACGGGTTCTGGTCTCCTGGAGGTCCTCTTGGAGCCCTCTGGAGTCTAAGAGGCCTCTTGGGCCATCTGGACGACGTCTCGAGCAGGCTTGGGGCCATCTTGGCGCGCCCGAAGCCGCAGCTGCAAGTGGTGGCAGTCTTGTGTCGGTTATGAAGTTCTCTTGAAGCTACGACGGGCGGCATGTGTTCTGTCCGACTGTTGTGAGATCCTCTCGGGGCTTGTTGGCGTCGTTTTTGGGGCTCGTGGGGCTCTCTCGGATCCCTCAGGGGTTGTCGGGGGCGTGGTCGGCCGTTTTCGGACCGTGTTTGGGCCGTGCCGGCTGTCCTGGGGCCCTCTTGGGCAGTTTTTTTTTTTTGTTTTTTTTTTTTTGTCTTGTGTTATATATATATATATATATATATATATATATATATATATATATATGTATATATATGTTGTTGAATATTATTACTTCTCAAGAATAATTATTGTTGGGCCCCCTGGTGCACGCCCCCCTCGCCGCGCCTAGGCCGCAGCCACATTTTCATCATTTTCGTGAGGAAGCCTCAGGCAAAACGGGGGAGTCCGGATCCGGTTGTTTTGTTGACGCCCGCTTTCCCGGTCAAAGAACAATATACAATGACATGTTGTTCTAACATAACCAAACTTCAAGAATCCTTTGAAAAAATGACACGAAGTGCACACTCGCGCGCGCAAGACGAAATCCTTCCAAAACCTTAGTGTTCGTAGCGATTTTAACATAAACACATCAAAAAACCAATGGTTTTTCAAACAAGCTGCCAAAATTTCATCCCGCGCGCTCTTGCGGATTTGTAGGAAACCCAACACTTTTTAAACATTTCTGTCAAACGGGCTTTTGCTAGCAACTTTTTCACGTGCTTCGAACTTCTCCAACAACGGTTGCGCACCTGCCAGGGCCATCATGCCTGTCAAATAATACCATGCGGGACACATTCGTTTTTTCTTCGCGCGCGCACGCCGAAATCTTCAAAAACCATTGGGTTTCTTAGGAATTTTAGCACCGCGCAGCATAAAATCATACGAATCGCACCGTAGGTCCTCGAAAAACATCGCACCAGGCCAGTACAGGTGTCCAGTGTTGGAACAGGGGGAAAAGTTGTATACTAAGCTAGCGTCCAGAAAATGTTACCACAACGAGTCACTGTACCCTTGCGCCAGTGTAGTAGCCACGGTCGTCCGCAGGCCACGAAGTGAAGTGTCCGAACGTCATAGGGCGGGAAGCTGGGTGTGGGTGGTGGCGAAGAGTCGTTTGGAAATGTGGTAGAGCTTGAACCGGCCCCCCCACAAAGTGGGGGTATTGGCGGGCGTCGTATGAAAACCCTGGCACTGGTGAGAACGGAGTGTCCCCACGTGCTAGTAATTGCTGTTGTTGTTGTTGCTGTTGTTGTCGTTGTCGTCGTCGTTGTCGTCGTCGTCGTCGTCGTCGTTGTTGTTGTTGTTGCTGTTGCTGTTGAACATTATTACTTCTAAAGAATAATTATTGTTGGGGCCCCTGGTGCATGGCCCCCCCGCCGCGCCTAGGCCGCAGCCTCATTTTCATCATTGTCGTGAGGAAGTCTCAGGCAAAACGATGTGTACCAGATCCGGTTGTGTTGTTACGATCGGTTTTCCCTTGCAAATAACAAGCTAAAGTGGACATTTCTTGTTCTAACATAACCAAACTTCAAGAATCCCTGGCAACAAATAAAGTAAAGTGGACATTCGCGCGCGCAAGACGAAATCCTTCCAAAACCTTAGTTTTCGTAGCGATTTTAACATAAAAACATCAAACAAACAATTGTTTTTCAAACAAAAAATGTCAAAATTTCATCCCGCGCGCTCTTGCGGATTCGTAGGAAACCCAACACTTTTTAAACATTTCTGTCAAACGGGCTTTTGCGAGCAACTTTTTCGAACTTCTGCAACAACGGTTGCGCACCTGCCAGGGCCATCATCCCTGTCAAATAATACCATGCGGGACACATTCGTTTTTTCTTCGCGCGCGCACGCCGTCGTCGTCGGCCGCGGGGCCCTGAATAGTAGCCACGGTCGTCCGCATGCCACGAAGTGAAGTGTCCGAACGTCATAGGGCGGGAAGCTGGGTGTGGGTGGTGGCGAAGAGTCGTTTGGAAATTTGGTAGAGCTTGAACCGGCCCCCCCACAAAGTGGGGGTATTGCCCGCCTCCTATGAAAACCCTGGCACTGGTGAGAACGGAGTGTCCCCACGTGCTAGTAATTGTTGTTGTTGTTTTTGTTTTTGTTTTTGTTGTTGTTGTTGTTGTTGTTGTTGTTGTTGTTCTGTGTCCTTCAAGACTGCCCAGTTGGGCAGTCTTGAAGCCATCTTGGGAATCCTTGGGGCTTCCTGGGAGCCTCTTGGGGGGCCCCTTTGGAGGCTTCCCGTGGCCTGCGGGCCTGCCGGGGGTCTCCGTGGGCGGAGGGCTCGAGGCGTCGGTCCCCCCTCGGGGAGCGCTCCCGGGGCGTTCCCCCCCTTGCCGTCGCTCGGACGTCCGTTCCCCTTACCTATCCCTTACCAGCTTGGGAATAAATATATCCTCCGCCCCAGAAGGCGCCCAGGAGGCCCCAAAAAGGCCCCAAGAGGCCCCCAAGAGGCCCCCAAGACGCCCCAAGAGGCGCCCAAGAGGCCCAAAAGAGGCCCCAAGAGGCCCCAAAACGGCCCCCAAGAGGCCCCAAAACTCGGCTAGCCCACAACGGTGCGACAATATGGGCCGGCGGAATGAGCGAAGCGATTAATAAATATATCCATTACCAGCCTGGAGCATATCCCTATCCCTATGCTGGGCACCTCCTCATCACGATGCCGATCTCAGGGATCCCCTTATTTTTTGAGGGCGAATCCCTAAGATTGGCATCGCCTTTTGTGCCAGGTGGTCGAGGGTGCTCCTCGCAGGTCCTCGCCGAGGAAGGGAGATGCACGCGTCCGAGCGATGCCGAGGTTCCTTGCTCCCCTCTGGGGCGTCTCGGGGGGAGCGTTCCGGGGGCGCTCTCGGGGCAGTCCTGGCCGCCCCCTCGGGTCGTCTCTTGGGGGCCTGCTGGGCCGCCTGGGCGCCCTCCCGGGGGCCTCTCAAGCCGCCGTAGGGCCGATCTTTGCGACCTCTTGTCTCGCACTGGGGCGTCGGGAGGCCGAAGAGGCGGAAACGCGAAGAACCTTCAAACGCCGAATGAGAATCAATGACTTTGGCCTCTCGGGGCCCTCTTGGAAGGCTTCTCAGAAGCCTATATAATGTTTTTTTGTCTTCTTCTTCTTTTTCTTCTTCTTCTTTATTATTATTAGTATTAGTATTATTATTATTATTATCATTATTATTATTATCATCATTCTTATTCTTATTATTAGTATTATTATCATTAGCATTATCATCATCATTTTTATCATTGTTATTATTTTCATTATTAGTATTACCAATATATTGTGTGTGTTTTTGTTGGGGGGGAGGACTACCCTGATGCGCCAGATGACCGCTCGATTTCTGAACGTCCTTGCACGGGATTGTTCGCGCCCGTCCTTTCGCCGTCTCCCTCTGAGACAGCACCCAAAAGGACAGGCAGCTAGTCCAGCGACCACGCGGGTGGCCCCGGCTGCCGCCACCAGGGGTGGCAGGCGCCCCTCCAGGGGCTACTACCCGACAGTGTACAGAAGGAGGGGGTGACGACTGCTGCTTGCGTCCGCCACGCACGGGCCAGAAATCGGTGACGCCTCGAGGTGACTCCGAGGCGAGCTTCAAAGTGCTGTTCAGGAGTGCCTGGGATGCCCAGCCTGCGGCAATTATGTAGGGGCACGAAGACATCAACACACGCAGAGTAGATGATCTTAGGCGACAGTGGTGTGGTAGCCAAAAGGAGGACGGGGAGACGCCAGGGCGAACCCTCAGGAAACGACGAAGACGACATGACGAGATGACCAAGCCAGTACTTGAACAGAGAAGCCAAGCGAGGACAGCAGACACAGTGTTCAACATGATCTAGATCACCATCTTCATGATCTGGGCAACCCAGGACACATCCTGCAGGCCTAGAGGAAGCCCCTCGAGGTGTCTTGGGAGCTTCTTGGGCCGCCTGGAGGCCATCTTGGGCGTATTTGTCCAACATGTTTCGGCGGCTCGTAGCCCTCTTTGGCCATCTTGCGGATTATCTTGGGCCCACCCGTGCCGCCAGGAAACGCGTCTGCAAGAATTAGGCCGAATTCCGCCGGCCTCTGCCGTCTTTCGCCCGTGGCCAAGGCCAGGTCTCGAAGGGTACCCCCCCAGACCACTACAAGGGAACACACGACGGGAACCCTTCCGCAAGGTCGGGGAACAATCCGATTGGCTTCGGTGTTTCAAAATGGTGCTCCCGCTGCAGCGTGGGCCTCATGTTCAGATCGGCGCATTGCTCCCGTCTTTCAGAATGGCGCTCTCGCCCCAGCGTGGGCCACTTTTCTGGATCCGAGTACCCCCTCATCGTTGTCGCCGCCCTCATTCCCCTTCCTCCGCCTTCCCCTGGTCTTCCTACTCCTCCCGCTCCTTCCACTCCAGTTTCCGCGGCTGCTGTTCGTCATCGTCCTCCTCCTCCTCCTCCTCCTCCTCCTCCTCCGCATCCTCCTCCTCCTCCTCCTCCTTCGCCTCCTCCTCCTCCTTCCTCCTCCTTCCTCATCCTCCATCTTTTCCTCCTGCTCAGCTCCTCCGCCTCTCCCTGGTCCTCCTGCTCCTCACGCTCCCTCCACTCCAGTTCCTGCCGCGGCTGTTCGTCTTTGTCCTCCTCCTTCTCCTCCTGCTTATCCTCCTGCCTGCTCGCCCACCGCCTCCTTCGCCTATGTGCGCAGCCCCCCCTTTGCAATCGCGCATAACACCACGGGGTGTTGTTTTGAGCTCCAGGTCGGCTGTACGGTGTCCCAGGGTCGCTGGGCCCTCCTGCGCTGCCCTTTCAAAGCTGCCCCACACGGACGCCCTTGCAGAAGGACCCCGTGCGATGGTCATGCGCTGAAGCAACGTTAATAGGGGGAACACAAACCTACCTCGCTTTTGACCACCCTCGCTTCCAAGAGATACCAAACGATGCCAAACTACGGCCTGTACTGGCCAGGCCGCTTGACGAGGAGGCGCGTGACATGACTTGGTTTTGCCTGGAAGCGAAAGCGGGGTAGGTCATTCACGCTCCGAGTTAAAGGATCATCTGCTGATGGCTGAGCTGATTGTTCGTTTGAGCGATCGTTTCTGGGAGCACCGATCGAGGATGATCCTGCTGCACGTGTTAGCACGCAGCCGCCAATAGTGACTCGAAGCACCGCTGCGTCCACAAGGCGTCGAACGCTTGATATCGGCAGCTCTTACCCAGGCCAGGCTACGCCTGGCTGTGACACCCCGTCCTCATTTCCCTTCTCGCCCCCCCCTCAGTCCTCCCCTTTCTCCCTCCTTCCTCGTTCACCCAGATCCCTTCTCCCTCCCCCCTTCCTTCCCCCCTCCCTCCCCTCCCTCCCCGTCCATCCCGCTCTCACACTCCTCCTTCCTGAGTCCGCCTCTTGCTCGCCATCGCTCGGACGTCCATTCTCCGTGCAATATTTTTGGCTTCGTGCGTGCATGTTTTCCCTGACCCAAAAGGCTCCTCGATGGTCCTCGCCGAGACGAGGCGCACACGTCCGAGCGATGCCAAGCTGGACTCCCTGCTGGCCGACGACCCCGCCCTGCTTCCCGCTCCCCGTTCGTTCCTCCCCCTCCTCCCTGACTCCTCCCCTTTCCCCCTTCCCTCCCCCTACCCCCTCCCCTCCTCCCCTGGCTCTCCCACTCCCTCCCCCTCCCGGCCGCGGCCGCTTCCAGCCTTCGCCGTCTGCGAGATCACCTTGATCGTCGCCGCCCGCGGCTCGTTGTTGAGCAGGGCGCGCTCCCCGAAGTACTGCGCCACCTGAGCGGCGGAAGGAGCGGGGCCACTTCCCAGACGTGCTCGCACCTGGAAGACATCCGGACGGTAGTCGTGTTCGCCGTTTTCGGCATCTGGGGGCCCTTGCCGGGCCCTGGGACAGGGAGGTCTGCGCTGGATCGGATCGCGAAATCGGATCGGATGCCGGTGAATAGAGCCTGATCACATCGAATTGGAATCGCGACCCCAGTCAGCGAATCGCATCGCATCGAATTGGACCGTAGGTGGCCCTGAAAACAATCGGGAGCCCCCAAACGGGGTGGTGAGTCGGTGGGGATTCGGGGTCACCGCACGGTTTTGGGACTCGGGTCGTTCACCGAGGACGTCTCGGGCGACTGGGGCATCCGAGGTCCCAGAACCGTGCGCTGACGGCCCGTGCGGTGAGGTCCTTGGGGGAATTCGAGGTCACCGCGGTCTGTCACCGCACCGTTTCGGGACTCCAGAAACAACAACGGCTCGGGATGAAAAACCCAGTCCGGGGGCAAAGGGTCGGGACTCCCGGAGGCCCCGTAGAACGAGAAAGCAGCAGGACGTCGCATGCCTGGGTTGGCATGCGTGGGGCACCTGAGCCGGGTCCTGGAGGCAACGGGCCCTGGATTCCAGGACTGCCACCGAGACATTTTGCGGTTGTTGTTGCTGCTGCTGTTGTTGCTGCTGGTCTTATGGTTGTTGTTGTTGTTGTGGTTGTGGTTGTGGTTGTTGTTGTTGTTGTTGTTGAACATTATTACTTCTAAAGAATAATTATTGTTGGGGCCCCTGGTGCATGGCCCCCCCGCCGCGCCTAGGCCGCAGCCACGTTTTCATCATTTTCGTGAGGAAGTCTCAGGTAAAACGATGTCATCCAGATCCGGTTGTGTTGTTACGATCGGTTTTCCCTTGCAAAAAAAAAAGCTAAAGTGGACATTTCTTGTTCTAACATAACCAAACTTCAAGAATCCCTTGCAAAAAATAAGGTAAAGTGGACATTCGCGCGCGCAAGACGAAATCCTTCCAAAACCTTAGTTTTCGTAGCGATTTTAACATAAAAACATCAAAAAAAACCAATGGTTTTTCAAAAAAAATGTGTCAAAATTTCATCCCGCGCGCTCTTGCGGATTCGTAGGAAACCCAACACTTTTTAAACATTTCTGTCAAACGGGCTTTTGCGAGCAACTTTTTCGAACTTCTGCAACAACGGTTGCGCACCTGCCAGGGCCATCATCCCTGTCAAATAATACCATGCGGGACACATTCGTTTTTTCTTCGCGCGCGCACGCCGTCGTCGTCGGCCGCGGGGCCCTGAATAGTAGCCACGGTCGTCCGCATGCCACGAAGTGAAGTGTCCGAACGTCATAGGGCGGGAAGCTGGGTGTGGGTGGTGGCGAAGAGTCGTTTGGAAATTTGGTAGAGCTTGAACCGGCCCCCCCACAAAGTGGGGGTATTGCCCGCCTCCTATCGAAACCCTGGCACTGGTGAGAACGGAGTGTCCCCACGTGCTAGTAATTGTTGTTGTTGTTGTTGTGGTTGTGGTTGTGGTTGTGGTTGTGGTTGTGGTTGTTGTTGTTCTTCTTCTTCTTTTCCATCCCGAATGGTTGTTTGACGGCACCGGGAATCGGGGAAACTTCTGCTTCATGTCGTCCGGATATCACTTCGTACGCGCTACCTCGTCCGCTTCGATCCGTCCGCTTCGCTTCGTCCGCTTCGTCTCGTCCGGGAGTCGAGAAAAAGACGCAACAAGAGAGGACGAGTCGAACGAGGACGAATCGAGAGGGGGCGACACGAACACGGACGAACTGCAGGCCCACCTTGGGGAGGGCCCCAGGAGCTCCGAAAACGGTTAGACGCATTCCTTGCCACCGCTCGGACGTCCATTCCCCATGCATTCGTCGGACTCGCGTTTTTTCTTTTTGGTAAAAAAATGATCCAAAATGTTCCTCGCCGACACGCCTGATATATGCCACGAACCCCGACCATGGAGGACAAGTGGGCGTGACTTGCGAGATAGAGAAAGACAAAGAAGAGGATGCCTACACGTCGTTCATTTCTAATCGTGCTCATTTCCAATTGTGCTCGTTTCTAATTGTTCCTGGCCCCCTAGTGGCCAGGAAGAGGCCCAGGATAGAACCATTAGAAATGGAAGGATCTTGGCCCCCCCCAGAAATCAAATAACTTTCGAATAGTTAGAAATGAACAATGCCTAAGGAGCGCACTACGTTGGTTCCCGTGGTGTCCGTTCGACGCGCCATGACGCTGCGGCTGGGTGCGTCCAGCCATCCTGGGGTCCTCCTAAGCGGTTTTGGGGCCCTCTTGGGGGCCTCCCAAGGTTCCAGGAGGCAACTGCTGGGAGGTTTTCGTCGGAAGAACTAGAAAAGATTAAGCCCCATAGGGGGGCTGTTACGCCGGAGTGGGCCTCGGATTAATCCGAATTAAGCGGGACTAAGCGGGATAAGACGGATTAAGCGGGATTTGTTGGGATTAAGCCGCATTTCGGACCAGGGCAAACTCAGACTTTCACCTCCCAGGAGTTGCACTCGAATGAAGGGGCCCTGGGACACACAAAAAAAACACACACAAATCACAGGATTCCCCATAGCTTCCCATCTTTTCTGGGCATTCGTCTTCCCCCCCCCCTTCCCAAGTTTTCACACATCTTTCCTGGGGGATCGACGATCCATTGGGTCTGTGTGTCTTTGTCCCCCCTGACCAGGGTGCTCCTCGCCGACAAGAATGGCCACGCCCGAGCGATGCCAAGGTCCGGGCCACGGGAGATCCGAGACCGGCCAGACGCATCCCCGGCCATCGCTCGGACGCCCATTCCCCCCCGGACGCGAGGACCCTCCTGGCTAGCTTTTTTGTTTATGTTTTTTTCCCAACCATCCTGTGGTGTTGGGTCCTCGTTTTGAAAAGACGGTGCCCCGCGTTCCTCTCCTCCTTCCTCCTCCCCCTCCTCCCTCCTCCCCCTCCTCTTCTCTCTTCCGTCAGAATGATCATCTGCAGCATCATCCTCATCCACATCCTCATCCTCATCATCGTCTTCATCATCGTCCCCACCGCCCATGTCGTCACACCCCTCACACGTTTCGTGGCCCCATAGGGAGCTCCACCGAAGGTCCCACTGGGGGCGTTCGCATGCGTCTCCCCCACCCAGGACAGCGTTTCGTGGCCCCATAGGGAGCTCCACTGAAGGTCCCAACAGGGGTGTTCGCATGCGTCTCCCCCACGCAGGACAGCGTTTCGTGGCCCCATACATAGGGAGCTCCACCGAAGGTCCCAGTAGGGGTGTTCGCATGCGTCTCCCCCACCCAGGACAGCGTTTCGTGGCCCCATAGGGAGCTCCACCGAAGGTCCCACTGGGGGTGTTCGCATGCGTCTCCCCCACCCAGGACAGCGCTTCGTGGCCCCATAGGGAGCTCCACCGAAGGCCCAAGTGGGGGTGTTCGCATGCGTCTCCCCCACCCAGGACACTGTTTCGTGGCCCCGTAGGGAGCTCCACCGAAGGTCCCAATAGGGGTGTTCGCATGCGTCTCCCCCACGCAGGACAGCGTTTCGTGGCCCCATAGGGAGCTCCACCGAAGGTCCCAGTAGGGGTGTTCGCATGCGTCTCCCCCACCCAGGACAGCGTTTCGTGGCCCCATCGGGAGCTCCACCGAAGGTCCCAATAAGGGTGTTCGCATGCGTCTCCCCCACCCAGGACAGCGTTTCGTGGCCCCATAGGGAGCTCCACCGAAGGCCCAAGTGGGGGTGTTCGCATGCGTCTCCCCCACCCAGGACAGCGTTTCGTGGCCCCATAGGGAGCTCCACCTAAGGTCCCAGTAGGGGTGTTCGCATGCGTCTCCCCCACCCAGGACAACGTTTCGTGGCCCCATGGGGAGCTCCACCGAAGGCCCAGTGGGGGTGTCATTTCGGCACACCCCTCACACGCTTCGTGGCTCCATAGGGAGCTCCACCGAAGGCCCCAGTGCCCGCGGCCGCATGCGTCCCCCACACCCATTTCGGCACACCCCTCACACGTTTCGTGGCTCCATAGGGAGCTCCACCGAAGGCCCCAGTGCCCGCGGCCGCATGCGTCCCCCACACCCATTTCGGCACACCCCTCACACGTTTCGTGGCTCCATAGGGAGCTCCACCGAAGGCCCCAGTGCCCGCGGCCGCATGCGTCCCCCACACCCATTTCGGCACACCCCTCACACGTTTCGTGGCTCCATAGGGAGCTCCACCGAAGGCCCCAGTGCCCGCGGCCGCATGCGTCCCCCACACCCATTTCGGCACACCCCTCACACGTTTCGTGGCTCCATAGGGAGCTCCACCGAAGGCCTCAGTGCCGCCGCCCGCATGCGTCACCCCCACCCATTTCGGCACACCCCCCGCATTTCTCGCACGGCAGGGTCATCACCACGGTGGCGTGCCAGGGGCGCACCATGCGCGAAGGCGACGGGGCGGGGGAACGGCGCTCCGGGGGCGGCCAGACCTCCGGGGCGCGAGCAGTCCGCGGCCAGACCATCTCTCGGTCCTGTGGACTCTCGCCCTGGGCCGTCGGCTGCCCGGCGCGCTGCTCCCTCGGTCGACGTCGCCCAGGCGTGATCCTGGATTGCGGCCGCCACGAGGTAGGGAACGGCAAGAAGGAGGACGACGACTGGTGGCTGGAGCTCTACGTGCTGCTCTCGCGCGCCACGCGCCACGAGGACCTCCTGCTCATGCGGGCGCCGCGCATCGAGTTCTTCCTGGCAGGGCCGCCGCAGGGCTTGCGGAAGCAGCTGGAGCAGTTTGCGGCGCGCACGAAGCGGTGCAGGAGGGAAGCGACGGCCCTCGCCAGGGAGCTCGGCTTCACCGAGTTCATCCGCGAGGCCTGACCTGAGGAGCGTCTCCCCCGAGCCGCGCCTTCTCTCGACTGCCCGACTAATTGTTTGGCCTCGCGCCGCGGACGACCCGCGCGCGTCGCTGGGACCCTCTCGGGGCGACCAGCGCGCGTCGCGGGAACTCCGTGCTGCGGGGGGCCCGGCGCCTCGTTCGCCCGTCGTCGCTCTGCCCAGCGGTCAGAGACTTGCCCGCTATCAGCCAGCCAGTTAGCTAGTCAGCTCTCTCTGCTTCGCGCAGCGGACGACCCGCGCGCGTCGCTGGGACCCCGCCCGGGGCGACCAGCGCGCGTCGCGGGGACTCCGCGCTGCGCTGCGCCCGCAGCCTTGGATTTTGGAGTGCGCGGGCAAAGAGGAAGGAAAAGAAGAGCCGAAAGCGGGCGCGATCCTCGCAAGAGGCGTGCCGACATGGGCGTCGCGACGTGCGGACGCTGCCGTCGGGGTTCCCGCGGAAGCTGCCTGCGGCGGCCACGCCCAGTGTCACGTGTGTTCGGACAGGCATGCTCGACACTTACACTAGGCGGTTCCATGATCGCATTCATGCAAATATATTCACTCGCGCGCAGACCCATTCATACTCAGATTCCCTCGCGCTCTGACTCACCCGCGTTCTTTCTCTCGTAATCAGATCAATCGTAATCCTTTGCGTTGTGTACCCCGCCACATTTCGGCACACCCCTCATGCGGTTCGTGGCCCCATAGGGAGCGCCACCGAAGAAGATACTCCCAATTGCGATACTCACAACTGCATATGGTTGGGTCCTTCGCCAGGATAATTTTGTATTTCTGTTTCTCCTGGTGGTGTTTTTGCTCAAAACAAATTATGCTAACGGAGTTCCCCACATAATGATGTTTTTGGGCTAGCGGGATCAAGCAACATTTTGTAGAGAAATTGCCGACCTGCCCTCGCCCTCTCCATCCTTTTCTATCACATGGTTTGCGAATACCCTCCTCGCTCATGCGGGGCTTCCCTGGAGGGGTGGGACGGGCACGGAACCTGATAAATAGCACTGTTCGCGAATACCCTCCTCGCTCAGGCGGGGCCTCCCTGGAGGGGTGGGAGGGGCACGAAACCTGAGAAATAACAGGTGATGCGAATACCCTCCTCGCTCAGGCGGGGCCTCCCTGGAGGGGTGGGAGGGGCACGAAACCTGATAAATAACAGGTGATGCGAATACCCTCCTCGCTCAGGCGGGGCCTCCCTGGAGGGGTGGGAGGGGCACGAAACCTGATAAATAACAGGTGATGCGAATACCCTCCTCGCTCAGGCGGGGCCTCCCTGGAGGGGTGGGAGGGGCACGAAACCTGATAAATAACAGGTGATGCGAATACCCTCCTCGCTCAGGCGGGGCCTCCCTGGAGGGGTGGGAGGGGCACGAAACCTGATAAATAACAGGTACGAATACCCTCCTCGCTCAGGCGGGGCCTCCCTGGAGGGGTGGGAGGGGCACGAAACCTGTAAATAACAGGTATTCCGATACCCTCCTCGCTCAGGCGGGGCCTCCCTGGAGGGGTGGGAGGGGCACGAAACCTGATAAATAACAGGTGATGCGAATACCCTCCTCGCTCAGGCGGGGCCTCCCTGGAGGGGTGGGAGGGGCACGAAACCTGATAAATAACAGGTGATGCGAATACCCTCCTCGCTCAGGCGGGGCCTCCCTGGAGGGGTGGGAGGGGCACGAAACCTGAAATAACAGGTGATGCGAATACCCTCCTCGCTCAGGCGGGGCCTCCCTGGAGGGGTGGGAGGGGCACGAAACCTGAGAAATAACAGGTGATGCGAATACCCTCCTCGCTCAGGCGGGGCCTCCCTGGAGGGGTGGGAGGGGCACGAAACCTGATAAATAACAGGTGATGCGAATACCCTCCTCGCTCAGGCGGGGCCTCCCTGGAGGGGTGGGAGGGGCACGAAACCTGAGAAATAACAGGTGATGCGAATACCCTCCTCGCTCAGGCGGGGCCTCCCTGGAGGGGTTGGTATGGTATGGTATTGGTATGGTATGGCTTGGTATGGCTTGGGATGTTATTGGTTTGGTTGCTGTTCTGTTCTGTTCGTGGTTTGGTATGGTATTGGTATGGTATGGTATTGGTATGGTATGGCTTGGTATGGCTTGGGATGTTATTGGTTTGGTATGGTATGATTGGTATGGTATTGGTATGGTATGGTATGGTATTGATATGGTATGGCTTGGTATGGCTTGGTATGGTATTGGTATGGTAAGGTATTGGTATGGTATGGCTTGGTATGGTATGGTTTAGGAGAAGGACGCGGGAGGAGGAGGAGAAGGAGAGGGTGTTCTGGGAAAACAAGAACCCCACTCAGGATGTGGGGAACAAGGGATCCAATCTACTCCTCGCCGAGAAAAGAGCGCACACGCCCGGACAATGCCAATAGCCTGGGCCCCGGGATCTCCGAAACCGGCCAGACGCATCCCTGGCCAACGCTCCCAGATGGTACTCCAATGTATGCGCGAGTGTCCGCGCAGACGTGACGGCTAACGATAGGGGGGGACTGGCTCAGGGAGGGAGGCGTCGACCTGTCCTCGGCGACGCATCGCCGATAGGATCGGCGATAGACCCCCGACAGCGCATCAGCGCGCTCCTGGGCGGGGTGGGCTATCGGGCCCTTCTCGGCGATCAATGGGCGACCGGGGGTCGATGTTTCTCCCCTAGTCCTGTCCCACCCCAATGGTCCTCGTCGTTTGGTTTTCGGGTCACAGCCCGGCTCTCTGGAGGCCGCTCGGGACGCGCCCTCGGCGAGGCGCGGCTGCGGAAGCGCACCCCGAGGCCGGAGACCCGCCGAGGACCGGCGAAGACATCCCAGAGCCTCGAACCTCGACAGCCTGTCCTTCGCTGGGACGCTGCCCCTACACCCTGCGAGATGCTTAAGAAATCATGGGTTAAGAAATTCATAGTCTCAGAAATGGAATAAAACCCAGAATTTCTATCAAAATCTTGGGATTTACATTGAAAAGTTAAGAACAATCGAGACTCTGGACGAAAACTTAAGTTTTCTTAAGCATCGCCTAAGGTGTACAGCTGGCGCACTCTCTCAGCCGCCCGCCTTGGTCTCCACCTTAGCGGACAAGGTGCTGACCTGCTTGCCGTCCTCGCCGCGGGGGGCATCCCGGGGGCATCGGGGCCGCCCTCCGCGTGGGCCGGCTTGTGGAGGAGCAGGGGCCAGCAAGGGGGGAGGGAGGAGCAGAGTGAGTGGGGCCAGGGACACGCGAAGGAATAGACACGAATCCCAAGATGCCCCATGTTCTCTGCATTTTCTGGATGTTCGTCTCCCCCTCTACTCCCCACATGTTCTCACCTTTTTTCCCCGGACATCGACGATTCGTGTTTTTTGTACGTTTTCGTATTTGTTTAGTTGTTGTTGTTGTAGTTGATCTGAGTGTGTGTGCGTGTGTGTGTGTGTGTGTGTGTGTGTGTGTGTGTTTTGTCTTCGTCATTTAGTTTTTCCTTCCTCCAGAGGAACAGAGGAAGCAAGAAGGACGGTCAGGTCGGACGTACGAGGGGGAATACAGTAGGAGCTCGACCACAAGAACCCTTCCACAGGAAACCCAACCCTGAGACCCCAGGACTCCTCCTCCTCCTCCTCCTTCCCCCCCTCCTCCTCCACTTCCTCCTGACGTCCATTGATTCTTGCCGTGGGAACGCCACGCGTCCCCGTGGCAGAGCCGTCGGGAGCCCAGAGAAAACACCCGGGGCATCCCGGAGGCACAGCGGGGTGCTTCTTGGCATGGGGCCCCCACTGCAGCACAGAGAGACACAAAGGGGCTCACGCACCACCTCGCGGCGGGCGGGCTCGTGCCGCGCCGACCCCAGCGTGGGCTCCCGACACCGCGGGGACCGCTCGAAACCTGGAGCCATCGGGCGCTTCCGAGGCGCCGGGTCCTTCCACATCGGCCGATGCTGGGCCGCCGGCGGCGTGGCCAGTGTTGAGCTGGACGAAGGAGGTGACTACCTACCAGACCACCCCAACCCAACCCGAAGACCCCAATTTCGGGTTGGGGGGGGGGTACGGGTTCCATACGTGTTTTTTCGATGCTCCCCGATCCCCCCCAACTGGAAATGGAGGGCAAATTGAGGCCTTCGGGTTGGGTTGGGGTGGTTTGGTGGGTGGTGAGGAGGGGGACAGAGAAGAAGGGGCCGGCGAATCGGCTCACGCGGCTGGTTTTGGGAGGCGCCCCAGGCGCGCCAGTGCATCGAGGAGAGGGCCCAGCGGCGGGGAGAGGGTCGGCTGCATGCCGCAAAGCTCGTCGCCCACCCTCCCTGCATCCTCCCCTGTTCGCCCGACCTGGAGGAAGGACGAGGGAAGAGGCAGGAAAGATGGAGGGAAGACGCTGGAGGGGCGTCAACGCCAACGCTCACGACGGGGACCGGACTGATGGGCAAGAGAGACGCTTCGTGACCACCTCGGGCGACGGTGCTCTGCGCCGTCAGACGCGCAGGGCGCTCCGTGTGCCCACGCGGGCCAGCGTGGTGACGGAGGCGATCACGCGTCTACGCATCCGGCATGCCTGCATACCGTCACAGCGCTCTCCTTTGGCCCCCCCCCAGCACAGTCACCGTGCTGCCAGACGGAACGCCGAGCAAGGAGCGAAGAAGCTTTTGTGGCCGCGGCGAGCCACGGCCACGAAAGGAAGTCCCCGACCTGGATCTAAGAGGAGCGGCCTGAAAAGCAGAGCCCCTCCCGAGCCTTTTTTTATTCGGCGCTTCGACCTTGGGAGGAAAGGGGGGGGGGTCTGGCTCCGGACCGCTGCTTCATGCGACTGCTTGCAGGAGTGCGTCCTCTGGGCGGAGGCTCCCACCTGCTCGAAACCGGCGCCAACAAACAGCCAAGGTCTACTCCAGGAGGGGGGGGGGAGGGTCGAGGGCCCGCGCCGATCGGCACAACAACGAATGAACAAAACGATCACGAACTGGTCCTTGTTTCAGCGTGAGTGACCAGCCTGGCACGAGCTTTCAGGGCCAAAGATTCGGGCTAAGCGGGGAAGGGCACGACGATGCCGACGCAGCCGAACCGAACGTACAGCAGCGACTCGGGGCTGCAAGGGACAAGCGATCGCCAGGTGCTGCTGAACGCTCGCAGGGGTTGCCGATTCCCCCTTCCTGCTCGCAGTGGGGGCGGAGCAGGGGTGAGGAGGGAGAAGGAAGCTTGGGGGGGGGAGTGGGGAGAAGGGGGCAAGACGAAAGTGTGCGGCAGGTTGATGATGATGCTGATGATGATGATTATGATGCTGCTGTTGCTGATGCTGATGGTTATGATGATGATGATGATGATGATGGTGGTGGTGATGATGCTGATGATGACGATGATGCTGCAACTGCTGCTGCTGCTGATGATGTTGATGCTGATGCTGATGCTGCTGTTGTTGATGATGCTGATGATGGTGTTATTGATGCTGATGGTGCTGCTGATGGTGATTACAAACATGTTGAGGATGATGATCAGGATTATGATGCCGCTACTGCTGATGATGATAAATCTGTTGAAGACGACAAGGGTGATACCAATGATGATGATACTTATCATGATGCTGTGATGATGACGATGCTAATGACGACGATGATGACGATACTGATGATGCTGCTGCTGCTGATGATCGCACTCCCCTGAGCGCGCCAGAGAGGGGGGCAGTTCAGCTGCCCTCTGCCGCGGGCCTCCTGATGAGCAGGCTCCGCACGCCGCGCCCCTTCTTGGCAATGTGGCGGGCGCGCGCGCGCAGGAGAGGCAGCAGGCATTCGGGCCCGTACCTGTGCGAGCTCCTCAAGGAGTTAAAGGTAGAAAAAAGCAGGTCGTGGACAAGAAACAAAGAGAACAGCTGCTGACTAGACTGGCATGGCATAGTGCACAGCATACGCGCATCGAGGCTCTGATTCAAATATTCGACTGGCAGGAAGGGCAAAACAGAATGGAGCAAGCTCAGGACATGAGGGCAATCGAAGTAATGCTGGACGTGGTCGCCGCCTGTGGCCAGGCAACCGAAACGGCAGGTAAGACGGCCTTGCCTATACCTGGCAGAGGTCGCCCACGCGTTGCAGATGGTTTTGAGAATGGCCGCAGCCACAAATGGGCCGACGCGCGCGCAGGCAATTTGGAGCCTGAGCACCGCAAGGTCGATACTAGAGGCATCAGCAAAAGGAAAAGCGAACCGAATTCGATTGCCCAGGAGAAAACTCGCGGAGCTACAAGGGGCCTCAGAAAGCAATTTCTTCAAAATCTGTCTCTGCAACTCGTGAGTGTCCTCATCGAAGTGGTTCCACGGCAGGGCAGTTAGTCGCTCGTAATTGTGAATCAGGTGGAAAACAATGGACTCGGCACGCCATGCCGGGTATCGCTTGACCATCAGAACATCCAAGTCCTCTTCCTCAAGCTCATGAAAGCGCTTCCGAATGCTATCAAAAACCTTAGACCGAACAGCGACCCGATACATGGCAGCCTGATTCTCCAGCACTAGGTTGCGCGGGGCAATGGGCCAATGCAACGCAGACGAGAGATTGCGGAGAAGATCAGTAGGGATGCTGTAGAAGGGGCATGCGGTGAGAGTCTGCAAACCTTTGGTTTCCATGCGAAGAGCGTCCTGCGATATGTAACATAGCTGCATCACGAAGGTGAGAACCGAGAAGGCCAAGGAGTTATATGCATAGATACTTTGAGTAAGCCCAAGACGAAGCGACCGAACATGACGGACACGATTAATATATTTCTGAAGCGGAGCGGACCAGGATTTCTTGTAACCTCCAGGGCCCAGAAAGACACCCAAGACTTTGCCACTAGTGCCGTGCATAAGCGAGCGAACGTTGGTGCGAACGGACTCGAACAGGGCGAAATGCTGGTCGTCTGGCATCTCTTGCACGTGCACGATCATACACTTGGCAAGGTTCAAGAGCAGGCCAGTGCAACGGCTGGACCTAATAACATTCTTCAGCACAATCGGAACAGCGAGCAACAGGTTGGATGCCGAGATCTGGATGTCATCTGCAAAGGCACGAGGGGTAGCACAAACAGGAGCTAGCAAGTTAGATAATCGGCGCAGCAGCGGGTCGATGCATAACGCAAATAAAGCACCCGACAGCGGACATCCTTGTTTAATGCCTTGGGTGATCGAGTAGCCTGGAAACTTCTTTCCTGCTAGGCATATGTGTGTGTAAATACCGGTGTATAGGAACCGAATGGCATTCACGATATACATGGGTATGTTCATCATGATTAGCACATCAATGATCCAGTCGTGGCGCAGCGACGGGAACGCGGCGCGGAAATCCAAGAGGAGTAGCCCAGCGTGCGGCATGCCGCGATAGCAGGCGTATTCAAGAATGTCTGCCTCAAGGCAGAGCAAGTTTTCGAGCATAGACCTCTTGCGCACGAAACCCGTCTGGGAGCCTAAGACGCTGTACTGGCATTGTTGGCTAAATGGTTCGCATATGGCCAATGATACTATTTTGTTATCAGTGTTGCTGAGAGCAATAGGGCGCACCACAGACGCTTCCCGAGAGATCTCAGAGGTTCCAGCTTCGTGAGGGCAGATGGCCTTAGGGAGGTATACCGTGAGAGACTCGTTGAAGCCTTTATGCGGGGGCCCATATGTAGGATGGTCCAATATAGCGAGATAAACTTGATACAAGGCATTGTGAGCAGCGTCTCCAGCGAACCGCCAGGCACTGTAGGGAATTCCGTCAGGGCCAGTCGCGCTGTCCTTGCGGCTGACGAGCTTACCTATGAAGCTATGCAGGTCGAGCGTCCACTCGATACCTGGGGCAACCTGCTGAATCTCACTGCTCAACAGTGTCTTCTGGAAGTGGTATCCCCTGTCCTGAGGCTTCGCGGCATGGACCCGCCCCCAGTGGGACGCAAGGTTCTGAGCACTGACTTCGAGATCAGGCGAGGGGTTCCCGGTGGGGTCGGGGACCGAAACCAGAACGATTCGGCGCCTTTTGGGAGACCACTGTCGCAGAAGCTGGTGCAACCTGAGGCCTCGATCGTCGTCGGGGGCTCCGCCACCTTCGACGTGTTCGCGAATTTCTCGCTGAAGCAGAGAATGCTGGAGCTCGGCCATTTCCCGATAAAAAGACACAGAATCTCTAAAACAACATTCATCAGCATGAACATGTAGACTAAGATGAGGAATAGCCTGGATACACCTCCGAACGTCCCAAGACTTGCCATCCCGAACAGCCCGTAGAAACTTAAGGTAAACCGACAACTTCTGCGCATCATTGTTGGGGCCTCGGAAGAACATGCGAGTCATCAGAGCATCCTTGGCAACATACATCGCGTCTTTGACGGACAGGAGGTACTCGAACGGGTCCCTGGGCATTTCAACCGAACTTATGGCAGCATCAACCTCAGAACCAAAATCAGGATGTTTGGCAATCCAGGAGGGGATCGTCGGGGTAGTTCTGCCGCCAGGCGAAAACTGAAGCCAAACAGGAATATGGTCGCTCGGCTGGGCGACATCGTGAGCAAGACCTATGACACCGCTTCTTGGTGTCGCATCAAGAATGTCGGTGGTGGCAGAAGAGATGTAGAACCTATCCAGGCGACCAAGGCTGAGAGCACCGTCCTCCCTCCTCCCAGTCCGATGAGTGGGCTCCTGTTGGGCAACTTCAGCAAAGTGTCCGAAAGCCCGAGAAAACATGTGTAGAATAGCGGTCCTCTCAGGGGTGGGTTCCCTTCCGTCTGTGAACGTCCTCATCTCCCCCTCTTCCAAGAAGTTAAAATCGCCTCCCAAGATGACTGTGGCCTGATCAGCAGGCAGAGCGTGAGCAGCAACCGCGCGGATCACACGATCCTTCTCAACGTCGGAGAGGGTAGGGTCGAGGTGAAAGTTAATCAATTGCAGCGTGCCTTTCTCGCCTGTCAGTGTAACTGCTATGCATCGCCCATCGATAATGTTAACTACGTGGATGTCCTGAAAGAGCTGGAGCAAGGAAGGATCAATAGACATGGTAACGCCTCCCGCAGCCGCAGAAGAGCAAAAAGAGCTAAGGTGCGTGTGTGCTGGCACGTCACGATCCAGCGAGGAAAGATCTTCTTCGGTCCCGTGGGTTTCCTGCAAAAATACTACTTGAAAGCGTTGCACAAGACTTCTGAAAATATGCTGTTTCCGATGCTGTCTCTGTGGATCGCCGTAAACACTGCCAAAAAATGCACGAGTATTCCAAGAAGCAAGACCCATAGCACGAGAAATAACAAATGGATGCCGCTGCTCAGCAAGAGCAGCTTCACCTCCCCCAGGAGAGTGTGGATCAGGAAGGTAGGGATCATGAATAGCTGGAGCATTCTCAGGAGGAAGAGAGTCAGGCGGCGTCGAGGTGGCCTCCCCCCGTTCTCGCAGCAGGGCTCGCAAACGTTCAGGATCGAATTCATCGTCACTATCGCTCCCAGATACTGGCTCACTCCGCCCCTATTCGCGGCGAAGCGCAGCAGTGACCACTCGGGCAGCTTGTCTACTTGCTCGTCGGTGAAGCCGTAGCGCTTCAAGTTGCCGCGGTTGGGCTCGACGTTCGGGTTGTCGGTCTCGAGGACATTCTGCAACACGACGAGCTCGTCAACGAGGTCGCCGTTGACCAAGAAGCAGAGGCCCATGTACTTGTTGCATCGGAGCTGCGAGTCAGGACGCCATGTGCCAGCGTCGGTCATGACCTGCTTGATGTGTTGCCAGACCTGGCCCAGCACCCAACCTTTCTTGCGGATGTCGATGGGTTCGTCGGTGCCGACCCGAAGCCGATGCCGAAAGCCACTGCCATCTCCCCATTCTAGCGTCATGGCACGCAGCTGCAACAGGGCATTCTTGGCGTCGTCGGCGTCTTCGAAGATGATGACGTAAGCGTACTTGCAGCTCTTGGTGATCGCGCTGCACTTGTCGCGGTAGGTGGGCGAGAGAAGTGTCTTCAGGAACTCGAAGTGCTTGTCGAATGCAGAAGCCATCAGCTTGACAGGGAACCCTCGCACCCAGAGCTTCCGCCTGTCAGCAGGCGCGGCGCTAGCTCCACGGGGCGTGGCCACGGTCCCCCATGTGCTGGCGATGCCAGACGCCGTCGAAGGTGGTCGTGAAATCGTAGCGACAGAGGTCTTCAGCTCCTCGAGTGCGGCACTGATGACGCTGATCTTCTAGTCGGTCTGAGCGCTAAGTAGTGAAACCGTCAGGCATGTGTCGACCATCTCGTCAGAGGCTTCGCCGCCCGTGATGTTGCCGTGGCGCTGCTGCAGGGCGATGATCTGGTTTTGCATGTGCTCGAATTTGATGTCCATCTCATTGCGCATGTCGGTCTTCATGCTCTCCATGTCTTTGGCGAGGCTGGCAAACTTAGCGTCGTGGGCATTGACGGTGGCTACGACGGTGGACATTGATGCCAGCAGCTGATCCATCTTCTGGTCCATGGAGAGAGTGGCGGCCATCGCGGCAGCCAGAACGTCCCAGAAGGTTGGATCTGACAGGGCTAATAGAAGCACCTCCACCGCGCACACCCTGAGGCTAAAATAACCTCGAGCCTTGAGCCAAAATGGCTACGGAGCTGCTGCTGCTGCTGATGATGATGATGATGATGATGATGGTGATGATGACGACCACGATGATGGTAATCCGCCGATCCGGCGTGTGAGTTTGAAAGAGCCTTAGATGCAGCCTCAACTCCAGTTCCTGAGCTTCTGCTCTGCTGGGGGTGGGTGCCGGGGTGGCTCTGCCGGGGTAAGGGGTGGGGTGGGTGGGGGGGGGGACGCGCTGTGCTGCGTTTTCCGGGGGGGGGGTCGGGTCGTGGGAACCACAGCAGAGTGCCACCCCGGATGCCAGAGAGCCCAAGATTGCCGTCTTGGGCCTTCAGAAAGCCAAAAAGGAAGAACCCCCCGAATCCTTCAAAACCCTACAGGAAATCAATGGTTTCGGCCTCTTCGGACGCTCCTGGAGGTCCACTTGGAGGCCTCTTGGGCCGTCTTGGAAGCCTCTTGGGGGCTGCTTAGGCCGTCTGGGGCCATCGTGAGGCAATCCCTCCCTCCACCTCCCTCCGCCTATCCTCCACCTACTCATCCACCTCCCCTTCCACCAATTAGATCGCATCGGGAGCGCCCCCCGGGTCGGCGGCACTGGTCGAGGCCACTACAATATTGATGATGACAACGATGATCGTGGTGGTGGTGGTGATGATGAGGAAGATGATGGCGATGAGGGGCCATTCGGCAGCCTGAGGTTGTGAAGGATCGATTTCTTGGGGTGTTGAAGATCTGGAGATGAGTGCTTCAGTGCTATTTCTTGCCTGAGGTGGGGCGGGGGAGGGGACGGGGCCAGGGATCCTGGTGGGAGTTTAGGGGGCAAAGCTAACCAGTACGATCGTCATGGGGAGGAATGGTTTGCAGATGCGCTCTGGGTGCCACCACAAGCCCAACCTATGGCACACCGCCTTTGTATTCCAGACCCGTCTTCGTTGACTCCCTCTCCCTCCTCCTGGTCCTCTTCGTCCTCTACCTACTCTTTTTCCTGCTGCGCCTCCTGATGTTTGTTATCGTACTGCTTCCAATCGTCTTCATCATCCTAATCCGCTTCGTCGTCCTGTTCCCTTCCTCCGCCTCTTCATCTGTCATCCGCTTCATCGTCATCTTGAACTAGGGAGCCCACAAAGGACGTACGCGCCCAGCTATGTACATGAACACGGCCCCTCGATCCGCGAGACCGGCCGCGTTCTACGATCGTTTGTGCAATGCGTGCTCTCGACATCAGCGTGGATTCATGTACATGTACGTCCTTCTTTCACTCCTGATGAACACGTTTTCAAAGCGCGTCTTGAATCAGCTCCCAGTCCGCGCTCCCAATTCTATGCTGGACGCCAGGTCCTTGATCACCGCCACTTCCCCCTCGTACAGGATGAAGAAAGCGTCGCCCATCTCGCCCTGGGTGATGATGCTCTCGTCCTTGGAGAACGTCATCTCGGTGAGAGCCTCTGCGACCTTCCGTTTCTCGTTGGAGAGCATCGGGGCGAACACCTCGACGTTTTCCAGCAGTCCGGCGTACTCCTCGAGCTTCTCGTTCGACGCCTCTGCGCGGCGGCCATGCGACCGAGCGCCCGAACGACGGAGCCTGCGCCGCTCGCGGCAGGCAGAACTGCCTCGGGACACCTGTGCCCCACCTGCGCCACGAAGTTACCTGCGAATCCGAGCTCGGAACGTGTGGCAACAAGCCAGTGTGTGTGTGTGTGTGCTCGAGCTGGGTCCGCTGCGCGGGACTCCGCCGCGTTGCTTCGCGCGGGCGTCGCCTCGACGCCAACATAGTGAATACACACATATACGTGCGCACATACATACATACATACATACGTTCATACATACAATGCAATACAATCCAATCCACTACAATACAATTCGATACAACACACTGCAATGCAACACAATACAAACCAATACAATGCAACACAATCCAAGACATGCATAAATGCACTCATCCATGCATGCACGCATACATACAAACATACACATTTACATACATACATACACATGCATACATACCTACATACACACGCACGTACAAGCATACATGCATGCATGCATATATTTACACACATCCATACATACACGCATCCATACAGACACACATACGTGCACACACACGCACACAAAACCACATCCGAACATATACATACGTACATACACACACCTACCCATACACATGTACACTTATATATGCATACGCACATACGCACATCCATACACACATACACATACGCACATGCATACACAAGCAGACACCGATACTCCCATACGATAGCACACACAACCATACATACATACATACGTACATACATACGTGCATACACACATACACACATGCAGACATACGTACATACATACACACATACATACATCTACACATACATACATACATACATGAATGTATACATGCACGCATGCATGCATATCCACCCATCAATCCATCCAAACATATGCATATACACGCACATCAGTATGTACATACGTATGTATATGTGCATGTATGTGTATATGTATGTATGTATGAATTTATGTTTATACATGTAGACATTGCTATTCGTATGCATGTATGTATACGTGCATGCATGTGTGCATGCATGTTTGTGTGCATGCATGCATGTCTGTACGTATGTATGCATGTCGGTATACATGTATGCTTATATGCATGATACCAGTATATATAAACATATGTGCATGTGTATGTATGTATGCATGCATATATGTATGTATGTATGTATGCATGCATGAATGTATGATGAAGTGAGAGTCTTCGAGCGGGTATTAATGTATAGTGTTGGTCCAGCCATGCTCTTCAACAGCAAGCGTGCTTCCATAGCTTTTCGGGTCAACCGCAACGATGACGGCCTGAGGGGCCAAGTTCGCGGTGGCCATCCAGGGAGGTCACAGATGCCCGACGCGCGCTGATGGTCCCTCCTCCGCCATCGGATCCAGGCAGCGCCGCGAGCGCGTCGCCGCCAGAGCCGAGCCCCATCGTGAGCCTCGGCTGGTGGCTAGCGCCGCGGGCGCTCGGCGCCCTGGGCCTGCTCGCCGCGATGCTGGCGTGGCGCGCTGAGACGGGCCGCGGGAGCCTGGTGCGCCTCGGCCTGGGAGCCGCGCTGATGGCCGTGGCCGCCTTCTGGGTCGCCGTCCAGACGGTGCGCGGCTGGTGGCGCGCTGCCAGCGGGCATCAGGCCGAGGTGGAGGCCCTTCGCGCTCAGCTGGCGAGCCTCTCGCTGGACGGAGGCCAGGCGAGTGGCCCGGAGGCGAGGGCTGGCGCGGGCGCGCCCGAGCTGCCAGCGTGGCCAGCGCCGAGCGCACCCCCGCCAGGTCTGGGGCAGGCAGGAGGGCCGCCAGCTCCCCCCCACAGCGTGGACCCCGCCATGGACGCGTTCCACGCCTTCGCCGCGGGGGGGGGCTGCACTGGGCCGCTGTCGTGGACTGCAGCACCGTCGGGTCCGCCAGCGCAGCCCGAGGCGGGCGCGGGCCCGACCACGACAGCGGTCCTGCCGACGGTGCCTGGCGGAGGTCCAGGCGGACCTGGGCTACAGGCGGCCGCAGCGGCCGCGGCTTGCGCCAAGAAGGTGAAGGAGGCTCTCGTGATGCTGCATGCTGGAGCGAGCACTGACCCATGGTGGGGACGTCGCTTCTGGAATTTCGTCCACCAGCTGGAGCAGGCCGGGGAGCTGAATCCAGGGGTACGGGCCGCCCTCGCTGCTCGAGGCTATGTGGGAGCGGAGACTCGGTCGGCCCCCGACGTGGAGTCGCTGAAGACCGTGCTGGCAGGATTCGAGAACATGGAGTCGTCCAACACGTTCGATGGCACGTTCGGAGCGCCCGCAGCAGCCGCGGGAGGAGCCGAGGTGGACGCCTGGGCCCATTCGCTGCCGCCGGACTTCAAGAGGGCGGGGATGGAGATCTATCGGAATATTCGCGCAGCTGGGAGTACGAGTATCAGACATTGGCTTCAGTCCCAGTTTTCAGGATATCGAGGAGGAGAGCAGTGGCAGTCGCTGTGGAGCACAGCGGCGACATTGGACTTCGAGCTAGGCAAATGTGGGAATGATCAGGAGCTGATGATCTGCCTCAACACGAATGATAATGTGGAGATTGGGCTGCGCCACCTGTCGGCCTACGTGTACGAGTCACGCACACACGACAAGGCTGGCGCGGCTAGGCTGAGGGCAGTCACCGCCCCAGGGAGCGGGATAGACATCGCACCGGGCTGGCTCATCACGGAGGCAACGACACACAGCAAGATGGAGCACCAACGGGCTGAACGAGTGGCAGCAGAGCTACGACGACGGAGCGGCGGCAAAGGGAAGGACAAGGACAAGGGCCGGGGTCGTGGCGACAAGAGCTCGGGAGGCTGACGCCTACCGGGGCCCCTTCATCATGAGTCGCGGGGTGAAGGGGTGCGAGATGCCCGTGCAGGGCAGCGACAAGTTCAGTTCGAGGAAGTTGATCGAGCCCCCCCAGGCACGCACTGCTCAGTCCTCGCTCGTGGCGGGTCAGGGAGGCCAGAGGGTACCGGGCTGGGGGGAGCCCCCCAGTCACGCACTGCTCAGTCTCATCCGCCGCCGAGCGAGAGGACCAGAGGGTACCGACCTCGGGGGAAGGAAAGATGGATTGCCAAACCAGATAAGCCTAGTGAAGATGCGAAGTTCAGCTACCCTCAGAGTTTCCCTTCGATATCTGAAATGGCCTCTGTTTTCGGTGCCAGCGATGCGGTCCTACCAGTTCCACTTCTTGCACAGCCAGGTCGTGTGTCGGTGCGTTCGGGTCGGAGTAGGCAGAGACTACATCGGAAGCAGATGGTTAGGAAGGTCGCCAATCGAGTGCTCAGTGCTCTCAACTCGACCTACCTGGGCAATATGAAGCAGCAGACCACACCATGGCAGCAGAAGTTTAGCAATGAGATGATGACGAACTCTGCTGTCGGGCGGGTCCAGGCGCGGGCCATCCAGCACGCAAAGGACCAGCTCAATGTTCGCCGGCTGTTCCCAGTGACAGGCGTACAAGCGACGTGTGAGCTACTGAAGTTGGACCAGATAGGCTACAGGAGAGTGCACAAGAGAGACGTCCACACGGAGTTCATTGCCAACAGAGTGGACGAGGTGACGACGCTGAAGGTTGTCCCGCTACTCGAGGCGTTGCCGGCCGATGAGGCAGAGTACTACGAGAAGGAGGAGAACGTCGTCGAGATGGCAGGCAAGTCCATGCAGCACGTGGAGAAACTAGAGAGGCAGTATGGGTTCTTTGGGGGCCAGATGGAGCAGTGGATATCTTACTTACATCGTGATGACCTACCGCCGGGGCTGTGGGTATTTAGACCGAGGAGCGAGGTGATGACGATCAATGGAGTATCAGCGGTCTTGAAGAAGGACGGCTTTAAGTTGAGAAAGCTCATCATGGCAGTGCCCACGAACTACCTCTGGAGTGATGTGCGACGACGTGGTGAACACGGACTGGGCGGAGGAGGAGCGCTCGCTATGATGCGAGCGCCAGGCATGGAGATTCATATGGCGCGGTGTGATGAGAGCAATGCATTCTCTTCGGTTCTCTTGCCTGAGTGGATGTGGAAGTGGATGGCAACTCCCGCCATCCCAGCTGCAGCAGTATGGTCCTTGTTACCCGTGGACATGAGGAGCGGTCTCCAGGAGTGGTCTCTAGTGTGCCCTTGCTACACCAGGCTACCGATGGGGTTGTCTCATGCCGTTCACATCCTGATGTGCATCAACCTGGAGGCAGTGGGGAGGACGCTGGCGAGGTCGGCCGCCCTAGGAGAGCCCAAGGAGAGCCAGTGGATCGATCTTCCGGACGAAGCTGTCGTGGAGGACGTCGAGTGGGTCAAGAAGCAGGCCTTGGGCCGTGCTGAGCGGCGTCAAGAGGCTGGGCTCTCCCCCGAGGCCTTCCTGGTTAAAGTCCGTGAGCTGAAGCAGGAGCGTCACCGAGTGATCATCGTGCTGCACGCGTTCGCGGGCGGCCGGAGGAAGCTGGACATCCAGCACTATGTGGAGGAGTTTGCCGTCGAATATGGGGTTGCGATCTTTTTCTTTGGAGTGGATCTTGCCTTTGATCATAGGTGGGATCTGGCGGACCCCAAGCTGATCGCCATGCTGCTGGAGATGATCGAACAGGGCCTCATTGACATTATCCTTGGCGCCCCCCCCTGTGCCACGTGGAGTAGAGCGCGCTTTCACGGAGGAGGTCCTCGTCCACTCCGATTTCGGTCGGAGCCACTGGGCAGGAGCGACCCGTCGAAGGAGGAGCGCGTGAGAGTCACGGAGGCGAACGTGCTTCTCTTCAACCTGCTCGCCTTGCGCGACGTGGAGGAGCAGTACGGGGGGGGCTACCTGTTCGAACACCCCGCGGACCCAGAGGAGGAGCCGTACCCGAGCATCTGGGACCTGGAAGCAGTGAAGGGCATGCTGGGGCGGCACGGCGTGCGTACCACCAGGATCGACCAGTGTATGTACGGGGGACCGGCC